TGTGTGTGTGTGTGTGTGTGTGTGTGTGTGTGTGTGTGCGCGCGCGCGCGCGCGCGTGCGCCTGCACTGATGCTGCATCATGGTTGAGTGTGGACTCTGGAACACTTTCGCTTGTAAACTTATTTGCTGGACAAGTTATACGTTCTGAGCCCCAGTCTCCTCGTCTTCCACTGGGGATCATTTCAAGAGTTGGGCGGGCTGAGCGAGGGGATATGTTAGATATACCTTAACCCCTGTGTGTAGCTCAGCCTCGGGCTTGGCGCGGTGGGCAGCACTGGTCAGCTGTGTTACCGTTGCTGCCATCCCCCTGTAGTGCCCCGAGGCCCTGGTAGGGCTGGGACCGGGTTGAGGAGAGAGAGAGAGAGCGAGAGAGAGAGAGAGCACCTTCAGCTTTGCATGTAGGCACCTCTGTGGCATCGCCCCCGTCCAGGCCCTGCTCTAGCTCCACCCGGACGCAGGGATGGGGCCCAGGCGAGGAAGGGTCCTGGCCTCCCCACTTCCTCGGCCTTCCCAGCCTCCTTCGGGGGATTTTAGGGCAAGCCCAGGCTGCTGGGGCTGACCGCTCCACGGCTCCACGATCGATCGATCGATGGATCGATCGCTGGGCGGGAGGGGAGGGGGATGTGTGTTCTCGCTTCCCACCTGCCCTGACGCCGGGGTGTGGGGCGGGGGCGGGGGCTGCCTCTGTGCGGATTTCAGGGGCCCTTAGGATGGTCCTTCCCCACACAAGTCTCTCCTGTTTCCTCTTCACTTCGCTTAATATCTGCAACCCCCAACCCCTTCAGTTAAGGCTTCCACTCAGCCTCTCCCCTACCCAAGGCCACGGGTGAGCGTGAGCAGTAGTCAGTCCTGGCGAAGCACTAGGACTTCTCATGAGCTGCAGATGGCCCCGGGGCTGAAGGCTGGGAAGGGCGCAGCTGCCGGAGTGTGCTCAGGTGTGGGACCAGAGCCGCTTTCCCTGGAGGACCCGTCACTGCGGCCAAGGATCCCATCCCAGGAGGTGGAAGACCGCCCCTCCATGGAGGTCCTAGATCCGGTTGCCAAGAGCACAGCTTTGATCCAGATTGACTTGGCTTTCGGACTCGGCACTCACGAGCCACGTGACCTTGGACAAGTAATTTATGTTTATAAGCGATCTGAGCCTCAGTTTCCTCACGTACCCAAGGAAGATGATGGCTCCTTTGTAAAGTCGGGATTGAATAAGACAATGTACGTGGGAGTGCCCAGCTTATAGCAGGTGCCCTGCCGTGGTAATACCCCCAGCCCCTCCCCCTTACAGCACTAGAAGGAGGAATAGAGAGAGCAGCTGGAGGAATGAGCTAGGAGATCCTCAAACTGGGAGAAACCGGACACAAAAGTATCACTGATTTTAAAAAACACTAGTCGCTCTTATTTTTATGGAACTCAGTGTTTAAAACCACTGTTTTTTTTTTTTTTTCCCCCTATGAGGTCATTCTGGCCCCTCCTTCACTCCCCTGTCCCTTCACCTCAATACCCCTGTGAGCTGAGCCACAGGGAGGGTAACTGCGGTTTCCTTTTCACCAGTCAAGGCCAGGAATCTGGGGAAGGAAATGGAGAAGCTCCTTCCATCTGTGAACGGAGCTGTGAAACATGCATCAGTCCCATCTCTAGCTGGTCACAGCCAACTTCCCAGAGGAAGAATGGAGGTTTTTTCCATCACAAATGAAGAGTGATGGAAAAAAGAGCACTTTGACCCATGTTTCTGCTTCCAAAATGTAAGCAAACATTAGATTTTTTTTAAACCAAAACCTCATAAGGTTTAAGCACCCCTTGCCCAGCCTAAAGAGTGTTGTGCATTGTGTTTTCCCCTTCATAAAGGAACCCCACATGAAACCACAGGGATTAACTTCAGAGGCATAATGTTGAGTGAGGAGAGCCATAGACAAAAAACATGTCTATGTGTGTGATTACATTTACATGCAGTTCAAGAAAAGGCCAAACGAACCTCTGGTGATAAAAATCTGCAGGTTTACCCCTGGGTGGGCGATTGGCTGGCTGGGAGGCGGCAGGAGGAAGCCTTCTGGAATGTTGGAATTGTTCTAAATCTTGATTTGGGGTATGGTAACACGTATGTAAAAATCTATCTAGTGGTTTGCTTAAGATTTGAGAATTTTACAGTATGTAATGTAGATACTGTACCTCATTTTTTTTTTTTTTAAAGGAACAAAATTCTCCCTGGTCAAGTCCTACCATGTGGATGGTGATTGAGGTGGTGTCATGGCTTCTGGTGAGTGAGGTTGGGACACAGTGGCTTTTGACCTAGCAATGTGGCCAACTTCTCTTCGGGATCTCCTGGTCTGCAGTCTCCAAGATCTCCCCAGACACACGGGTGGGCCTCCAGCAGCCATGCTAATAGAGGAGCCCATCTTTTTTCTCTCCACCACAGTGGAGTCGACAAGGGATGGACACCTGCCCCAAGCTCCTCTCCTGGGATGTAGACTTGTACCCAATGGCTCCTCTTCAAGCTGATCTGAAACATGGAAATAGGGAAGCCCGGGAAGGCAGTGTTCTGATGCGTTGACAAAGAAATGGAGTGGGGGGCCTGGGTAGTCAGTCAGTTAAGCATCTGACTCTTGATGTCAGCTCAGTTCATGATCTCCCAGTTCGTGAGTTCAAGCCCCACAGACTCAGTGCGAGCCTGCTTCAAGTTCTCTCTGTCTCTGTCTCTGCCTCTACCCTACTCATGCTCCCCCCGCCCCCAAAATAAATAAATAAACTTAAGAAAAAAAGAAATGGAGAAAGCTGGTCTGCAGAGGGGAGGAAGAATGGATTAACCATTCAGGAAACAGCAGCAGCAGCAGCCATACCCTGACTTCTGATGAATTTCTGTGGTTGGCTGTACCGTTGCTCCTATGGGACCTGTAGCTCCCCTGTATTCCTACCACACATCCCTTGTTTAAGCCACAAACGTATACAACTCCATTCTGGGAAGAGGCTCACAGCCCTGGATCAAGGTTAGTTGTGGGCAAGCCTGGAGTAACTCCCCATGCATGATCTGCACCGGGCAGAGCCCCGCCTGGGCCTCATGAAATGGGAAGGGACAGTTCTCCAAACACAGAGTAGGTTTTTGTCACGGAAGAAAGGGGAAGGATTCCGTGGATCCCCTCTCCATTCTGCTGGTGACTGCCCAGCGCACATATAATCCCAAGAAGTAGACTCCACTTACAATTGGGGTGTATGATAATCGTGACTTCCAAATTGACCATCCAGTCTCCATCTTGTTGAGGTGAGGCACACAGAGACTTTTAGGTTGGCGATCTCTTTTTAATTCAATAGTCAGCCTTGAGGGGTCCTCACACCACCCCTCTCTCCTGACCAAGGTGGGATTTAGTGAAGTGAAGCTTCAAGGAAGCGGGGGTGGGTGGGTGGGGGGTCTTTATGACTGGGGTCCTCACTGGCTGCTCTGAGGGTGTCCCTGGTCCCATCTCATCCTGGGGATGTGTTCTCTTAGCATGCTCCCTCCCTCTGTCTGGTCAGCAACCGTGTGAACTCTTTTTTTCCACATATTTGCAATCCCCACTCCTTGTCAGTGTTCTCTTCAAACGTTGTAACTACCCTGTGTCAAAACAAAATGTTAGGGAGGCAGCCCGATGTCTCACCCGTCACCACCCCAGCACTGAGTCCAGGATGTCTATGTGACATCACTTCAACCCTCTTTCAGTTTGGTCATGATCACATTTCACTATTTTGAAGCTTGGGGGCTAGATCATAAAGTTAGTGACCGTCAAAGTGGAAAGAAAAGAGATTTGGTAAGATAGATAAATATATACGTAGCACAGCAAGGAAGAAAATCTGGGTAGATATGAGAGCCAACCTTTCTGGTGATGCCACATGGCTGTAGATAGTACTCACGGCGTTCATCCTCTATCCTCCATCCCAGGTTCCTTTAAAAAAAAAAAAAAAGATTTTAAGTAATCTCTACACCCAGTGTGGGGCTTGAACTCATGACCCCAAGATTAAGAGTCGCACACTTTCGGACTGAGCCAGCCAGGTGCCCCTGATTCTGTGTTCCTCTTGCTCTCTCTTCCAATCTCTGCTGATTAGAGTTCTTTAGGCTGTACAGTGGCCCAGACCTTCTATTCCTGACGTATCTGGGCCCTTGATGGGCTTGCCCCTGTGTTGGGTTTATTAATTTGTCTTTATTAATTTGTTCCTTACTTCCATTAATTTTTACACCTGCACATGACAGTAGCAGGAGAAAACCAGGCATTTCCTGAGCTCCACACACACTCCTTCTCCTCCCTGTGTGTATCAGCACCCTCTCTTCCCTGGACAGTTAGGATTTGGCACCCTACCAACATTAGCAATCCCTTTTAAAATATTAAAGTATAGGGGCGCCTGGGTGGCTCAGTTGGTTGAGCATCCGACTTCAGCTCAGGTCATGATTCCATGGTTCATGAGTTCAAGCCCTGTGTTGGGCTCTGTGCTGACAGCTAAGAGCTCGGTGCCTGCTTCGAATTCTGTGTCTCCCTCTCTCTCTGCCCCTCCCCCGCTCATTCTCTCTCTTTCTCTTTCTCTCTCTTTCTCACCCACACACACATAAATAAACATTTAAACAAATTTTAAATATTCAAGTATAACTGATGCAGTTATACGTGAAAATTCACCCTTTATATGTACAGTTCTATGTCACCACCGCCGCCACCAAGATACAGGACACTTCCACCACCCTAAAAAGTCCCCTTGCACTGCCCCTTTGTAATCAACCACACCACCAGAACCAC